CTTAACGGTGGACAATTTTCATTATCAACTCAGTTGATAAAACCAAATGAGCTTGTAATACCCCCCACCGACACAGCAACACATTTCTTTTAAAAACGTATGCCAAGTGGTTCTGTCAAGGCCAATGACGTTTAGGGAGGGGTGTGAAAGTGAAAGGAGTAACAACAAATGTTGATCGCAAAAGCCTGGGTAAGAAGGAGGGGCATTATTAAAAATGGCTTCCACGAAGGTGCTCGAACAGTGGGGAAGAATACCAGTGGTTTGTTTACATCTTTAATTGCGTCGTTAATTGCTCTCAAACTTTGCTCGGCTCTCAACAGGTATGAACAAAGCAGAGTTTGCCGTTTGTCGAATCAAAGAAAAGCTTCCTGGGAACCAGGGACTTGTACTAAAGGGAAGCGGTTGTGTTGTGCATTGTGAAAGACTCGCAACTTCGTGGGGTTGGAAATGCAATTACTTTATTGTTACCCCAAGTGTCGTGCTGAGTCGGGAAGACCTGGCGACGGACAAGATGTTTATCGCCGAATTTTTAAATAAGGATAAACGAGGGCTGGAAACCTTTGAGTTGAAGCAAATGGCCGAAGTTTGCAAAGATCTTCCAGGATGCATCTTTGATAATGATCTTGATCGAGGTCACTCTCTTAGTTTTATCTCTGTTGAACCACTAGATAAGCGCGGGTTTCTTAAGAAAATGGTGAAGAAAGGGAGTCTGCAAACATATCGTCCATTAGAATGCGCTGATTTCTTCAGTAAATCTCGACAAGAACTTGTTCTTGACGAAGGCCTGTACTGTCACGTCGTCCGAGATCTATTTAATGAGTCAACAAACTCTCCATTTTCGACCCAAACTTTTAAACTTGTTTGGGAGCCGCAGACGAGACTCTTCAACATACAGGACTTTGCTGGATCAGCGATAGGATTTAATGAAGGGGCATTTCCAATTGGGGCCGTAATTTTCACTGGGAAGGGTGAATTTGCTGGTGTTTTAGAATTTGCCGACGGTTTCTTGTCTCCCGTATTTTTGCCGGACTCGTCGATGATAGGTAAGTAGAAAGTTTATCATAACATCAATTATTAAGTTGATGTGACCCCACGTATCAATTTATTTTGACAATCCTATGAAACAATAATGATATAATATATTAAAGTTATATTTTAAGTCCCCTGATGAAGGCACTAGACAGTAGTGTCGAAACATTGGGTCTATGAATTGTAACTTCTTCGGTTACATTCATAAAATCTGTAAACCAGAGTAGCATCAAACCATGTCTGAATAATTATATAGCCACACGTGCCACGCTAACCTACAAATTCGTGGCTGATATTTCACCCTCCAA